ACGCCGTTCTTATAACAATGTAAATAAATAGTTTTCGTTTCTGCAATAAATATACGTTATAAACTGCATTGACTGACATTTATATCAATTCCCCTTAGATTGTTTTATATTTCATTATTTCATTAAAAGCTATATATTCATACTAAAGAATGATCAACTTTTTATATTTTTATAATTAATTTGATATATTTGTCTTTTTATAAACAATATTTTCATATTATAATAACAGTTTTTTTTTGTTTTTTTTTGTTTTTGTTTTTTTTTTTGTTTTTTTTTTTTTTTTGTTTTGATTATTTAATGAACAATAATTCTCTCTATTTGTTCGGCAATGTCTTTGCTATTTGAAACATGAAGAATCATATTCTGAAACGTTCATTAACATGCGATATTTTCTAAGAAATAAATAAATAATGCTTTGATTTATTTAGGATGACAGTACACAATATATAATGTGATTTTTTTATTTATTTTTTTTTTTATTCCAGGTTATTTATTACATGCTGCCTTTTATCAAACGGTTTTTTTTTAATAAGTACTCCATATAGCACAGAATATTAGATATTTATTTATTTATGAGCGAAATGTCTGTCTCATAGCTCTTCAATTACTAATAGTTCAGTTAAATATAATAATAATACAATTAATAATAATTGCAAAAAGTATATTATTTCCAATAGTAATGATTCGAATGATGATAAATGAAATGTTTAAAGACGCTTTACTGCTGTGCTAAGCTCTGCTAAGCAATTGTCTGATAAAAGTTATTGTAAAATTCACGGTAGCAGTTTCATTGACATATTTAAAATATTGTGATATCTCAAGAGACATTACCGATTACATAGAACATTTCATCATACCACGTCATAAATTTTATCTAATATTCAATAGAAATCTCCGTACTTTTGGTTCGCCAAAACATAATTTTGCATAATTTAAAAAACCTAATAATAAGTATACGTATAGCTTACTTATATAATGATTGCTTACTAAAACAAAATTACTTCTCACATTTTTTTTTTTGTTTTTTTTTTGTTTTTGTTTTTGTTTTTGTTACGATACAGTTAAGTTGTATTTGCATTTCTAAAATAGCACTAAGATTATATGATACGTTTGTTGTATATCAGTACGATTTTATTATTATCAATTATATTGAAAATTTATGTAGAATCTACTTGCTGATATAAATGTATTTTATTTATGAATTGTTATCTTTTTAAAATAGTAAAACGTTTATGGATATTATTATTTATTTAAAAAATTTCACAAATCAAATAATGATTGATAAATAGTTATTGGATAATTAAAATATTGAAGCGATTGAAAAAGTATAAAACTCATCATTACATTTTTTTCTTCATATAATTAGATATATTTTCATGCTAATTTTTCAACATAAAATTTTATTTATAATAATTTTTTTTTTTTTTTTTTTTTTTTTTTTTTTTTTTTTTTTTTTTTTTATTACTACTGTGATATTATTCAAGCATAACATATATTTCTATGATAGTTTAAACATTTTTTTTTTAACAACTTAAAGACAGCACAAAAATACGTATTTAAAATTTAGCATGAGTAATCGGAATAAAATGTATTATTTCTTGATTAACATTTTAACAAATTATCGTAGATATCTATTTAAATTTAATTTAAAGTCAATCAATTACAATGTACTTTAAGAAAATTCAATTAATTTAATAGGATTTTTTCAAGTTAAGCATGAATTAAATTTAAACTTATTTGTTGCATGTAATTTATTATTTTCATTTGAAATAAATTACAGTTATATTATAGAGCCGTTGTCTTAAAAATAAACATAATAACAAATTTTTATAATAATAAATTTCGATTATTTAATGAATATTATTCAACATCAAAGTGTTGTAACGAAAACGTTTATTGTTTATAAATTTTTACGATTCATTTATAATTTTAAAATTTATAATTGTCATCGCTTACGTATTGATAAATAAATTATGCATATATTAATTTTAATAAGAATCGTAAATAAATAAATTTCATTTTTCAGAATTTTAACAAGACCATTCAGGAATAATGATAGTATTCGTATTTCAAATAATTGTTAATTTTTTTTTTTTTTTTTTTTTTTTTTTTTTCGACTATCATAATAAATGAATTGGCTGATACAGTTAGTTCTTTTATTAATAAATCAATAATTACACGATAAATATAATGTAATTTTATACGTCAATTCAAAATAAAAAAAATTCTTATCAATATATAAATAGAAATATATTGCGAATGAAATAAATGAAAACATTTGAATGAGTTTTCGATTTAGCAAAACATCGATTTAATACTTAAAAGCGTTTTGATTGCGTTCTTCTTTGAACGTAAACAATTTATTTAAAATGTAGCTAAGCTATATAAGTACGTCACGTAAGAACTAAACATTTGTAATGAATTAACGACCATTGATGGAACAGTAAACATTTGAGAATATTTTGCAAATTCAATTAATTTCAAGACCATAGGACGTCATTACACTCGAAGCTCTCGTGATAATTTAATACGATCAATTGAAATTATAATAATTTTTCTTTTACAATGGACTACGTTAAAAGAAATAACAAATACTTATGTGAAATTAAATCGGAAAAAATAAAAAATAAAAAAAAAAAAAGGAACAACTAATACAATGAAAAAAATGTCAAATGTAATAAGGTTTTAAGATTTTATGCTTAAATACAGAATAATTGAACAATTAATATTGATATTTCATAATGGTATAGATATTTTTCTTGCCCTTATCCTAATTATTAACTGAAATTTACAATATAATATATTTGATAATTAAATTATTTTGAATGAAGTAATTATAATGGTAGAAGTTGCTGTAAGAATTATGAGAAAATAACTACTTCAAATATTGCATCTATTTTATTGTTAGGAATGTAAAAAAAAAAGAAAAAAAGAAGAGCTTTCGTTATTTTATAAATAAAATCATCATTTTAAAATTTAAAACTATTTATAATGTATTAGAGATAAAAAAAATTAATTAAAAAAATAATAATAAATAGGGAATCAAGTTAATTACTTAATCGGCATTATAGAAAAATCATTCTCAACGTCAATTTTATTTGCAAATAATAATTGAAATTTCACTATATTAGATGTAGCTTTGATCTCAGCGAAATCATGAATTCTAAAGTGCAAGTTTCTAAAGCTGAATCAATATCGAAATGGATTGACGGCCATTTCATCTAAGTGAATTCACCCGATTAAGCATTAATACACTATAATTAAAGAAAATGAAGATAAAAGGATGTCAATTATTGTAATAAGACTGATATTGAAGTTTATATAATAGGATTTGAGCAAAAATTATAAGGTACTCGTAAAAATTGTTAAATAAAAGTTAATTAAAATCGCTTCTCGTACAATAGATTTAATTAAAATAGAATAGAATAGATTGCACAATATTTATCGAATTATTTACATCTGAATTTCATGATTATTTTTATTATAGATTTTGACGAAAGACTCGTGCTCTTTAAAATTTATCCATAATAAGAATGGTAAATCCATTCAATGTCTCTCAAGCAGTTAAAACATGAAATTACAAACACATGCGACGTGTATTTATAATTTAGATAGAATCTCTTAAGCTTTTTATAAAAAACGTCGATAAACAATTCTCATACATTCACATTTGTAATATTATTTACCCACCTGTATATTAGGCTAACAAATTAATATGCTAATAAATATGTAAATAAATAAATAATAATTGTAAGATAATTGTATAATATAGTGTAATATAATTTAATAAACTTTAATAAAAATAAGTTTCACGAAAATAGTAAAATGGAGTAACGTTCTTGTAATACTTCATTGTAATTAATATCTTGAATAATATTAGAAGCAACACAATGATTAAAGAAAAATTGTCTGGCCAAATGAAATTAAAAATTAATATAAATGAGCGAAGCGTCGATTATCGAAACGTCGAAAGTTTATTTTTGCGTTACATTATTAAGATGGAAAATTTTTCATTCGTCATTTAAAAAATTCATTTAATAATTAGTACAACTTTTCATGTGAAAATCCTTAAAAAAATTGTTGTTGTAAGTATTCGAGTTAACGGTGACATGTAGTGTGGATGTTTTTTAAAATATTTGTAATTACTAAATGACAAATAATGAGTATTGTATAAGCGTTATCCGAAATAACTCAAACTAGATGTAAGATGTAAGATTACGTAACCATTTGGACGGGAATTTAACTTCTTACAGAATTATCAATTAGAATTATCAATGAGCGACATTAGAATAAGATTCATGTGAATTAATAGAGTCAAAATTCGGGACGTGTGCGCGTTTATGCGCGCGTGTGCGTTTATAGATACGAGGATGAGGTGGGATGGGGGGGGGGGGGGGCGCGGGGGGGGTGTGTGTGGGTCTAGTGGTGGGGGGGGGCGGGGCGGAGGAATGTGTTAAAGATTAAAGAATTTCTGACCTCAGAAATGCAGATGATAATTGCCCTTCGAGTCTACGATGATGAGACAACGGCCGCCTGAAATATCCCGATGTTAGATAAAGAGACAAAGTTAGTTATATCGCAATGAGTTAGTTAGCGGTCGTGAGCGGGCAAAGCCAAATCGAGGTAATTAATCTCAGGTCGTTTATGAAACCTTTAGAAGGACGCCGCGATACCCGGCCAAATAACCTGGACTTGGCGAGGCGGTCGGTGAAAGTGCTCTCGAGCGAGCCCGAAGCCGAGTCTCGTCGCGACAACATCGGTCGGCTTAGGCTCGTTTCACCCTTAAGGTGACGCGGTAGCGAGGGTTGGAGGAAACCGGGCACGTGGACGTAGTCCCCAGGTCCGCTATCGGGGGATGGGCGGCCTCGACGACACGGCGCCATCTTTTTTCAGCATTCGACGCAAAGCCGAGGGGGCGAAAAACGGTGGTTGGCCGTGCGATGGTGGGGGGTACGCGACTGCGATTTACCGGCTATATAAAAGCCAAGTGCGCCTCCGCATTCTAGGTACATCACGTGCATTAGACGTAACGAGCCATTCTTCTCCGCAGCTCTCGAGCGGTATACGATTCTCGGCGTGCATCACGACGATGACAATGAAGACGGTGGGTGAGACCTGGTGAAGCGACGCCACTTCCGCCTCGGGTTCGCGCGACGTCCAGTGAAAGCAAAGCGACGCGTGTGCGCGCACGTGCTTCCTTACTCGATTTGGCACTTTGTGGCCCGGACTTTGGTCTCTGTCTCGGCACCCTCGAGGCTCACACATCCTTCCCTTCATTTTCCGTTCTTGGTTTATCGTGGTGACGCGTAACACGCACTTCGATTATCACGGGATTTCGGTGTTCTTAGAGTGTCCTCTCGACAGGACTCACGGTAGCAAAAACTTTGATTTTCGAATTTCCAATCGATCGTTACACACATACATTTAAAACATAATTCATAGCCTTTAGAAGAGCTTGTCTTCCCTTTAAACGCCTTCTTTTCATGCAAATCGATAATCGAACAATTTGTAAGGAAATAACATAGAAATATCCTTTATCGAACTTTAAGTCTTTCATTTGTCTTCGTGATATTTAATAAATTGGCACGATCAATAATATTCTATCGTCATAGAATATTTATTTTAATAGTAGATCAATAATTGAAATTTATAACATACTTTTTAATATATTTATAAATTAAAAACTTATAGACAAAATTAAAAAATATTATTGATAATTTCAACTAAATTTAGGCTTATGTACTAATTCAAAAAAGTATTACGGATATTAAATCATTATTTATCATTATTTCCAAATTCAGAAATTAAATGTGAAAATATTTTTCACAGCTCTATTTAATCAATCTAGTGCATTATTCATTGCATCGTTCAATTAATAATCATGAAAGTTCCATTAATAATATTTAAATAATAATTACCAAAAGTGTTAATATTATTTGTAATATTTTGTTAAATTTAGTTTGCTAGGTTTAATATAATTATTTTCTTAAGCTACGATCGACGCTTATTTTATAATTCAATGTACAAACGTTTTATTAAATAATCAACGAAAAATGTCAAAACAAATCTATAGATTTTTGTTGTATAAGGGCTCCCGAAGACGCGGAACACAGCTAATCTACGGGATATAGTAATAAATTTCTTTAATAAAGTATTAAATATTTAAAATTTTTGTTTTTAATGAATTATTTAAAAATACAGAATAAACTTTACAAGTTAATAAATAATGTCTGGCGAATATGCATTATGTGCTTTAAAGGATTTTTGACAATTATAACATACAGCGTGTTAAGTGTATAAGTAAACAATTTATAATCGATTTAAGATTAAAGCTCAACATATTATTAAACTTATATTTTTCACATATTATTCTACATTATTTCACATATTGTTCTACAGAGTATTAATATTTAACAAAGTTCTCGGTAAAAACAAAAAAAAAAAAGAACGAATAAAAGATCGACCCAATACTAAATAATACTTTTATTTATTCGGATAAGTGGCATTTATTGATTATTATTTATTCTAATTATAATTATTATTTTATTTTATCATTATTATTATTATTAATTTATTATAATTATACACAATAATATAATCCATTACGTGACTAACTAACGAGTTTAATTTATTTGTATGAAAAATATTGAAATAGCAATGTAAAATAAGACATCGTCATTGCAAGCGTTAGAGCTAAAGCAAATTTAACATTAAAATAAATAATCATGTGGAATATATAATAGCCGAAAGTGAAATAAATAGTAAATAAATTACATTTTATTAATTTCAGATCAAACTAATCTCAACTTTTTCTTTTTATAGTATATCTACATAACATAAAGAAAAAGAAAAAGGAGACAAATAGATGGATTCTTAAGTTTGCAAAAAAAATTAAACAATTTATCTATATAGATATAAATAAAATATATAATTTATTAGTATAAAATTTGTTTGTAAAGATATTATTGTAAATGTCAACGAAAATTTTTAATGAAAATTTTTATCCATATCCATATATTGACATTGATTTAATGAAAAGTTTTTTGTTTTTCATTTATTGCATAATACGTCAAGAGAAATATTTATAATTTATCATTAACGAATATTTATTATAATTATATTAAAGAAACATATTAGTTGACGATTAAGGAATACCAATACATAATAGCGTGTATTCAGTGTGAAAAAGTATTTATTTATTAAGAGTATTAAACTTCAATGCAAGTGTTTAGAATTTGTTGCGACAAAAACTTTCATGTTCATTGTCAATATTATCCGGCATCTCGAATTTATCAAATATAACGTGAAAATAGACGATTATTTGCTCGATGTAACAATCGTTAATATTTATTAATGACATAATAATTGGGTAACGTTGGTAAGAAAATTGGTTATAAGTGAGGAGCTTGATAAGCTTGGAGATAAATCGGATAGGATAGTCGGGGCATCCCTAATAAATGTTTGCCGTATCATTATTGATCGCTGACGAGCAGTCTAAACAATGACGATGAAAGCCTGTGCCATAAAAGTGTAGTAGTAACTTGTAGATATTGCGCGTACATAAAGAAGGAAGATCCTTCGAGGTTGGCTGTGCCGACAGCAACATTCTTAGCCAAAGGAGCAGACGAGGAATTCGCCAATAAGCATAAATCTTGGATATACGGCGTATAAAAGGCATATTCGCGGCTTTGAAGCATACGTGGACGGGTATGCCCTGGCAAAGAAGGCCAGGAGGGATCGAGCCGACGGCGTCTCGTTACTGGTACCGAGCAATGTCGACTCTCGGCGGGGATTTCGTGACTTGGTGAAGCGAAGACGAAGATGGTCGAGGAACCTCGCGGGTTGAGGCGCGGCCTCCGTCGAAACATTACATAAAATTGTCAAGCACCGCGTATAGGCGACGCGGAGAAAGTTAAAGTTTAACGACGTCGCTGAGGTAATAATGCACGTAGTCGCTGGCCTATCGAAAAAATTATTTGCACTCCGTGATCCAATCGGCGTCCCGTTCAAGGTCTCCTCGGGGTGAACTGGAGTGGATCCACCTGCGCGTGCAATTTTGAATTTCCCGGAACGGGAAATGGAGTATTCGAAGCGCAGGCGAGCCGGGCTTCTCTCGAGTACTTTCCGAGTACAAAGTGCCAACTTGTCGGATGCCCTTATGTCAAGGGCAGTGATCCTATAGGACATACTTCGGAGCTTCGTTCGCGAAGAGGATGTAGAAGAGTCAGCGACAATGATGAGTTTCAATTTCACAAACGCATTTGCTTCGAGCAATTTTGAGTCGTTAATCTAAAATAACTTCATTCGATAAAGCCTAGAATTTCCTCACTCCTAAAATTCGAAGTAAACGAGAGCCGCGGGCCGAGACTTCAAAGTTTCCGAATACTCGAGCTTTACCGATTCAATCGCTTTAGTATTGCGAGTACAATTCTAAATTGCATTCATTTTCATTTCTGCATCAATTCAAGCGCAACGCATTTGGCTTTGTAGAGGTATCGTTCACCATGATCGTTAAGAAGGAAATAATACATAAACGTGAAAGCAATAATCGTTCGAAGCAATGTTTTCAAGAACATTTATAATTCCTAACTATAAACGAAAATTTTTTCATAATGCGAGCTTAGCTATTAACGAAGTGAAAATATTTCCAAAGTAATATTGTGTAAGATCCACAATGAATATACTTGTTATAAGGGCCACAAAGTTCGCGCTTTACTAACAAAATACGCAGAAAATTCATTTTCCATAGCAGGCAGCCAAGGTGTAAAAATCGTCGGCTTAACGTCCCCAGGCGTTTTCCAATTAAGCGCGCAACGCTGCTCATGATTTTGCAATTGCGAGCCTTCGAATTGGCGATGGGGCGATTTGATGCACGCCAAGTTAAAGAGAGAGAGAGAGAGAGAGAGAGAGAGAGAGAGAGCGAGTGAGTGCTTAATGTCAGGATCACCTTCTCTCTGTCGGCAGGTCCTCTTCGTATTATGGCTGCTGGTCGTGGCGACACTGGCCGCGCCCCAACTCGGTGGTCCCACTCAGTACGGCAGCATCACGATAACCAAACAGGAGGAGAACAACAACATCGGCGTCGACGGCTACCACTACAGCTACGAGCAGAGCGACGGACATAAAAAGGAGGAGACCGCGGTGCTGACGAACCCCGGCACCGAAGACGAGGCGCTCGAGGTGACCGGCAGCTTCCAGTACCAGACCCCCGACGGCAAGACCTACAGGGTGGACTATAAGGCCGACAAGGACGGCTTCCACCCTACGATCACGCTACTTTAGGCTCCATTAGCTCGATCCAGCCGCCCCACTGTGCCTCACTGTCTCAGGATGACCCTCCTGACCCTCGCGATCACCTTCGCAAACGCTATTATCGCACTGAAGGGATGGCATTGTATTATCGCTGCTAACCACCTCAAGCAGCCACATCAATATTTACAATCAATGCGTTTACGTAGGCACGTGGCCTCCATAATTAATCAATACAAATAATCTATAAGGATAAAATATATGAGAAAATAAACAGTAATAAAAAAAAAAAAAATAAAAAAAAAAAAAAAAATGAAAAATTGGTTTATTTCGAGCGATTCTCTATAAAAAAAATACGAGTTTTTCACAAGATGTTTAACCTACAGTCCTTCCCTCCCAACACTACAAAAAGCATTTTCTTACACTTACGTGTAGCTCTTTTACTATTCTTAAAACATAATCGTAAAAATTAATATAATTTTAACACACAAGGCATACTTTTTGCACTAATTATCTATTCGAAAATTCAACATAAAACGAGCGTAATATTTCGCAATAATTACGCAATCGAGACTTAAAATCCAGGAGGAACTTGCAAGAGCGTTGTTGTTATATCCTTTATACGATTAAAGAAATGAGTAGAGTGAAATAGAAAATAATTTAGTGCCATACGATTCAAACCATTAAAATAAAAAAATAAAAAAATAGTAAATAAATTTAGGCGTCGAGTGTCGTTAAAATTAGGTACGGGGGAACGGGACGGCAGAATCACCAATGGCCGAAGCTTCGTAAGCTCAACGGCTACGCTAAAGCTCCGAGCCGTGAGAGTAAATCCTAAATAACTGAAAGTAGCATAAATTGCAAATGTAATGTGCAAAATATTAGTATCGCGAGAGAACGTTGAGCTTTATTTAAATTCGTGATCGAGCTTGTTGATTGGGATTCAACGCTTTGTCGAATAACGACGAATTAGCCGACAATGGCTACATAGAAAGAAGATGCGAAAGATTAATGACGAAGATAAGAGCTGAAGGTAACAACTTCAAACTCTAAGACCTAATTATATATAATGAATGAATTCAATGAAGTTTCTATCAAAGCAAAAATCGTCAAAGCAAACACCATCTTTCTTTTGCTGCTTTTTAAAGCATCATTATAATAACAATAAATCAGTTTTTAATATTAGAAAATATAGAACACCGTATCAGTAAAAAATAAGATTTTATATAAGCTTATGTAAATTTATCGGCCACAAAAAAAAAAAAAAAAAAAAAAAAAAATAGCACTTTTTTTTTATGTTAAAGTGTATAATTGTATGACGTTTATAATGTAGAAAAATAAAAATCGATTATGAAAAGAGTAATGACATCCAAATCCAACAATCCAAAAGGATATAATTAGATGGAGTCGGCAGAGTTGGAATAGGGGTAGGGGGTTTAAAAAGTAGGCAATTTATCGTTATTGTTCTAATTATTTTTTTGTTAATTATGAAATTTCAAAACATAAAATTTTGGCTAACTTATTTTCTAATACTTTTATTATTTGTATATTAGGATATAATAAAATTAAGCAATAAATGCAAGATATAATATTTTACATTGTTATTGTTTATTGAAATTACTTCGATTGTCAAATACCGAAAAATCCTTTATGTAAAATAAGTATTACGACATTTTGGTATATAAATTATATATACTGTAATAAAATAATTATTGAACCATTGCAAAATTAAATAATATTAATTTATTTTATAACAATACGCACTCTATGTACTCAACAAGAATAATCGCAATTTTATTAGTTTACATACAGTTTTACAATTTAGGCTAAAATCTGATATTTTTAGGTTTCAATCTATCATCTAACATAGTCAATTCTTAAAAATTCAAACAAACTCTTAAACGATGCATAATTCAGCTTTGTACCAGTTGAACCTGGTTTTTATATTCTTATATAAACACAGATTATATGCATTAAAAAACTAATTTTAATTATATATATATACAACACACGCACACGCACACGCACACGCACACGCACACGCACACGCACACACACATAAATATATATATATATATATATATATATATATATTTATTTAATTATTTATTTATTTATTTATTTATTTATTTATATATATTAATTATATATATATATATATATTAAGTTTACGTTATAATACGATTACGTTGATGTACCTTCCCAGGCACGAATTAAATGTAGAGTTTTATTTAGTTTTGCACACCATTCCAATCTATCCTCTTTCGTGTCAGCCGACAACAGATGCCTATAAAATAATTATATATTAAATTATATTTGCATATTTACTATTAATAATTTGAAGCTCGAAATATAATAAAATCTTGTCTTTACCTTATCGTTGTTGCTGAACCATTTCGAACCAAAACAAGACTGTCTGTATCCCCAGTCTGAGCTGGCCTCGTTGTCTCTAATAAAAACGTGTGCGGTCTTGCGCAAATGTCTCGAGAAACCAAGTTTACATTTGTCGTTGTAACACCTGAAATTTTAATCGACCAATCTTTTAGTAAAATATTTTTTTTACTAAATGATAATTTCCAATGTAAGCTTGGGAGAAAATGTTTACTTTGTAAATCCAGGCTTCCAATAGGAGTTTTCTTACGCTCGTCGTCTGGATATTTCCAATACGATAAATTAGCTCCTTTTAATAAACACCATCTTCGATGCCATGCACCAAAACCTGAAATATCCTCGAACATGGTTAGAAAACCATGATGATCTACTGAAACTGTTAGTTCGCATGACACGTGCATTTGTAAACGACCTTCTAGAGGTGATGAAAATGGAACCTAAACGAACGATAAATGTTAATAAACGATAAAGCTCAAATCATTAAATTTAAAACATTTGTGAATAATATTGAAAGCCATAATGCTAAATGTCATCGAGAAAAAAATTTATTACTTGCCTTATTTAAAGTAAATTGCTGTCTATGAACCTCTTTTAAACTGAACACGACATATCCGGCGAGAGAAAATGATGTCGTTTGAACAGCCGATGGACCAGCAGGATTTTGAATATTTGGCATTACTAATTTACTTTCTTGCTTTAAAAATTTTTTTGGTGTCTTTGTTCCACTCTAAGATTTAAACGATATATATATATATATATATATATATACACACACACACACACACACACACACATACACATACATACATACATACATACATGCATACATGCATACATACATACATACATACTTACATACATATATACAATTATCACTGAATAGAATTAAAAAATATTTTTTGTTTATTATTTGAATAAATGTACGCGCACAGACCTTTTTGGTATTCGAGCTAGAATTACTACAGCCGCTTCCACTACTGTGAATGTGATACTTGATTTCGTGAGGAAGAATTTCCGCTCGAGTTTGAAGAGAATAAACCTCGATAATCGCTTTGAAATCACTATACAAGTCCAACATTTTCAACGTAGAGGGAAAGCGTAAACAGGAATCACCCGGCTCGGCTTGTACTACTGGAGTGGCAATCACTGTATCCAAATGACGCACCAGGCAGACAAAATGATAACGAGATTCTGGAAATTTATCGATCAATTACAAATAGAACAAACAAACAATATAAATAATATGCTTATTCATTATGTATTATTTGACAAACTTACCCGATTCTATATGACGGAAAAAGTCCCGTTTTAGGGGTAAAGTTATTGCAGAAATGGTCAGAGATCCGCTCTCTTGAACTTCAGAAGCTCCTGGAGCTACAGGTCTTATAGATCCTTCGACTTTCAATCGCTGAACTTCGTTCAATGCCGCTTGTCTTCTATGACCTATTAAATTTACAATTATATAAATAATTCAATAATTTAAATTTAAACGATAAACTTAAAATTAAGACTTTATTTGTTAAAATCAGCTAAATCTAATGCGAATAATGAAAACATTTAAATTGACTGTTGAATGTTTAATAAGATTGTATAGGTATGTTGAGAAAAATTATTTTAAAAAAATAAGCTACTTTTTATTTTTATATAGTGATGCATAAATCAATGAAGCTATTTATCAAATGGCTTTAAAGAAAAAGAACATCAATTATTAATAGTACATACTTGCAAGAAGTAAGAGTCGTTCTCCTTCAACTTGCTCACGGGAGCCACTAAATTCTATAGTAGAATTGCACAAATTCAAGGCTTGACTAGCTTGACCAATAATTGTCTGCTGTTTTTGTACTTCGTCGAGTAATTGTTTGACTTTATCTTGTACAAGAATAGCCTCTCTGTTATCGGATGACGTATAGGATACAGAATCCGTAGACGTGGGTGTACGCGAAATAACTCGTGTCGACGACTTTGGTGTCTAAAAAATAAAAAAAAAGCGTAATAAGTTTACTTGCACATTATGTACTAAGTATGTATTTATATATATTCACACGTGATTACATTTATATATACGCGTAAACACACTCGCTTGTAAATATATATATACACACACGCACGCACGCACGCACGCACGCACACACGTATCTGTATACGTATATATAAATACATTCGTACAATAAATGTACCTGTGATTGCTGTTTTCTATAAAGGCTAACACTGTGCATTAATGGCACACAGTTATCACCCTCGATAATATATTGATCATTTGTTCTTGGCGATGAAGCTGGGGAGACGATCTTAATTGGTGACCGGTAAGAACTTCTAAAAATATGATAAATTACCAATAAAAGTACTTCAAATGTCAATTAATTTTGCTTCATCTTTAAAACACTTACCCTTGTGTATATTTGAAACTGTGAGAAGCAGCCGAAGGACTTTTCCCACCTCTGTTAAGTTTTGCTGGTGTTGGACCTTCTTCTCCAGCTTCTTGAAGGGCTAAGCACTCATCAAGATATTCATCCATTTCATCGAGAACAGAAATGTCAGAGGTTGTACTGTCTGGATCGGGATCTATTGACCTCTATAACATAAAACAAATAACATTAACATTAACTTATTTTGAAAATATTTAATTTGTTATTTTAATTAAACGGCTATTTTAATAAATGCATACACAATTATTATATAATTATAAATAATTACTTAATGTGCTTGTTAAAATCAGCTTTAAAGAATTAGTTATGCTTAGATTACATATATACTATTTATGTATATATTATCGGCTGTACTAAATGAATAAGAAAAAGACAACGAATTAAATAATAGTCATCAGCTTCAACTACAATACCTTTTTATTGAAAACCGTTTGATGATTTACAACTTGCAAAATACTGCGCCCAAGGCTCGTATTTCCTATATCATCCTCATTATCGTCACTACTTTCTTGATCATAGTACTTGCTCTACAAAAAGAAAATTTTATAATATATAATTGACAAATAAATTTCTTTCGTCAATCGATCATTAAAAGGGTATTTCATAATAAATTCATTTACTCGAACAAAATACTCCGCTTCGGTTCCTGTTTCCGTATCCGTATGCTCCTCATCCAACGTTGCAGTTTCAGCTTCAGTACTGCCAGAGGTAAATTCGGTCTCCGTTTCCGTAGAGCTTGATTCGATCTTCGTTAGATCTGGATAAAGATGTCCTGGTTTCGGCGGTGACACTTTTACGCGCTTTATATCGGCAAGTTTTTTCGGGCTTCCCACAAACATTTGTCCAGGTGTTTGTCTACGAGTACAAGGCTCCTCGGAAGGTCGCTTATTCTCAAATCCTCCTTAAATTATCGTATATAAATATCACTTACTTTAGATTGTAGATCGATATTTTTATTTTTAACTAATCACACTTTTTACAATTTTCAATAATTAATTAATATTCAAATAAAGATTTTTTAAGGTTATTAAATGAGTATATTTCAATTTCATTGAAAAATTAAAAACCTTTGCTAAAAATCTATAAACACATTATAATTATTTTAATTATAGGAATCTTTTTTTTCTTTAATTTTTTCCCTATGCTTTTGCAAAATGTGGTGATAAAAAAAAAAAAAAAAAAAAAAAAAAAAAAAAAAAAATGAATTTTTGTCGAAGATTTTGACGGTTGTAAAAAAAAACTTTCGATAAATCTTATTATGTAAAATATTTCCCTTACGCATCTCATTAACAATGCGAACCAACTTCCTGCGCGACGAAGTAAATGCTTTTATCTCTCGAGTGTTCCGGATTTATATTTTTGAGCGTGAAGATTGTTTGCCATACCAATTTCTCACGAGAACTGATGAAATTAATTTTTCTATCAACTTTCGTCGATGTAGCAATTAAAATTACTAACATACTAAGATTCAATGACGCATACTTATTAATTTTACCTACGATAAGTTACGGTAAATCAAGTAAATCATTATTTTTTATTTAAAAAATATAGTTGCCTACATGATTGAAACAAAACAAAAAACAAAAACAAAAAAAAAAAAAAAACAAACATGGGATTCAGTCGAATTGATTACAAAATTGATCACGAAGTTTTTAAAAAAGCTACTACATAATCTAACGACGCGTTTGTACACGAATAATATTGAAAATAATATTGAATGTCTGCTTTAAATGAATAATCTTTAATAATATTTAATGATAAATCACGGGTAGATTATTGACACTTGTAAATATTTTAAAATGCTTAAATTGAGAATAAGAGAGCTTATACGTTGTTAAGTAATAGTAAACAAGCATGTTGAAAGAGTTTATGGTAAGAGTAATGAATATATACATATATATATATAATTACCTTGTCTTTTGGACGGTGAATTTTTAACATTTTTCAAATCGGCATTGGGCTTAATACTTTGAGTATTGGGCATAGGAGGCGGTGGTGGGGGCAGCTGCTGCTCCTAATTACAATAAAAAATAAAGAAATATAATGAGAAAGGGCATTGACGAATCGGATAATTGACTTAAAGCAATGGCGCGATAAACGTGATAAAATAGTAGCATATTTACAGGGGCAGGTGTTGGCTTAACTGGGCAAATTGGTGAACTCTTGGGGGAGTTGGGCTTGCCTTCGCTGCTCTCGCTGGTCCGTAAATTGCAGCTTACAGCCGACTGCACGATGTCGCGATTACGATTGAATCGCGACCGGAGCATCTCCAGCTCCCGTTGTCGTTCGGCTTGGACATTTTGCAAAATGTTGTTTTGCAGTTCCTGAGTGCAGGTGCCTTGTTCGAAAATCGTACGCTGGACCTCCACTACTCTTCCGGTCTCCACTTTGTTATGCGAATAAACTATTTTATTAGTGAAACCAATTTTTTTTTTTTCCACTACCCCAATTTCATATTAATATTAATGTATACTTCAACCTTCGGCCGTTACGACTTTTAATCCTCATTGTTAGGTTAAACATTTTTTTACGGGATCGTTAATATAAAGCCGTTTTTATAAACTTACGACAACTTAATGCTAATAATGACAAAAAGTGCTCGACATAAGATTTTTGTTTTTTTTTTTTTTTTTTTTTTTTTTTTTTATCAAATTTTCTATTTCCAAGACAATGGTATTTTATCGTTGGATAATTAACTTATTTGTAAAATATATACGCCCACTTTTCGCAGTTTAACATTTACCACCATATTGTGTTGCTAATAAAATATAAAACAACATACTATCTTTATTTAAAAAAAAAAAAAATAAAAAAAAAATATATATATATATATATTGTAAATTATAAAATTGCTTTTGAATAAATAAAGACTTTACGAAGAAACGTAAGTCTGGCATTTTCATTCGGTTATCCAAGTAGTATTTGACGGTGTTTTAAAGCATCGACTATAATACTTCGATATTAACCTGATATTATATCATTTCTGCTTAACCAATGCGCACTTTATTATTATTTTAATGTAAATTAAATTTATCATTTTATTGTACATGTAATTACAATGCTTATTTAACATTGTTCAAAGCTTCTTAATTTGTCGTCTTTAATTAAATTTTGAATCGAACGAAATTATTAACTGCAGACATGTATATGTAAGTAAGTTGGAAAGTAAAAGTCACTCTTACAAACGACATGATAATATAATAAATACCTGTATTATTAATAGGTGGCGATGGCCTCTCCTTTTCTTGCAACATTTTTGTAGGAACGGACATGGTGAGTGGGGCTTTTGGAATTAGAGCTTCGCCCTTGTTTCTTTCGAAGAGCGCCTTCCTCTCGGATAGCGTCATTTCCGCGACCTTTCGACTCGAACATGGATGCTTTACTTAGAACCGAACCTGGCGACTGTATGAGAGAAGTTTTAGGGGAACAATTATAACCGAATTTTGCATTTAATCGCGCACTACTAACAGATGGTGAACCGGCACCACTGGCACAACTCTTTATGGACTTTTCGGGAGTCTTCGAATGATGACTGCTGTCATTGGTGCGCAAGGACGCAGCTGGACTCGACGAGGAACTCTTATTCTCCACAACCATTTTCTCCTGCAATAATTTATTTACACTCTCAGATAATCTCAGATATTTCAATGTATAAATAATTATCCTACACTACGACTTTCTTACTTGGCTTTCTGAATTCGATCTTTCCCATTTAATAGGTCTCAATGGGCTTCCATTTTTATTTTTATTATTGAGTTTATTTATTCCGCTAGTGCTTGGCTGTGGTTCCAAACTGCTTTTCACTTGTTCATTAAATTTCGCTTGAACTCGCTCTGCTTTAGTAATAGTTGGCTTTGTCTAAAAAATGCAAATTGTCCGTATGAAAATACTTCAATCTTCTCACTAATGATGCAAAAGTGATATTGAAATGTATGCTTACCAATACCGGATGAGACAAATCATCTTCCCAATTATTAATTTCGGAAGCAAGAGCTGCCAATCTATTTAATCGCGCACATGATTTTGCCGATTTCTGTTCTTTTACATCTTCTATCTCAACGTTTTCCTCTGCCCTACTAATAGGCGAGCTCAACTCTTTTTTAATATCTACATTAATTAATTACATATGTTAATAAACAAAAGAGAAATTAATTTCTAAGATGTTAAATATATAGAATTAAGATTGGAGCTAATTTATAAATTATTTTAAAAAGTAGTAATATTAAAATTAATAATGATCTGTAGTTTAATGTCTTATTTTTAAAGTCTTGATTTTTTTTTTTTTTTTTTTTTTTTTTTTTTTTTTTTATTATTATACTAAAATAGACTAATCGTAAAAATATTTATCTACGCTCAATGTATTTAAAGGCCTTATAAATATATAAAAACATGTTTCAAATTATATATATTCTTATTATTCTGATTTCATTATTAATACGCAGATAAAAAGTAGCATACAGATTAATTAATGTTAATTTTTTATTAATACAAATTCATCACTCGTTTAAAAGCATAAAGCATATTAAGCAATAAAGTATGATACAATCTCTTTAAATTGTCTCGCTGGCATCTTCCGCTACATAGGGGCCAAGATATCACTTCCATTATGTTTCGCTTTATCATCTCACTAAAGCCACTAACACAATATTTAAGGGTTACGTGCTCTAGTCTATGTTATGAAAATGCCACTATGGCAAAACTAAACAAGTAGAGTTTTATCTATGGGCATTTGACACAACCACCATGTATATTTTATTTATTATATATAAATAATTGCCTTGCGTTTTTATCGATTTTCGTAAACAAAAGAAAATTAGATATTTAATTCAATTCGATCTCTATATTTTAATTGCACGTTTTGTTGGCATTAAACTGGTTATTATAATGGTAATTACTTTAAAATTTATGAAATATTAATATCCATGAAATATGAATGAATATCCATGAATATGAAATATTAAATCCTACAATTATTTTTAACAATAAAAATACAAGACAAATAAATTTTAAAGTATATTTATAAACTCTTTGTTATTTATCAAGCATCATTACAAGTAAATAATAATATATTTAATAAATACCTGGTACTTGCGCCAAAACAGTGTTTGCATCTCTTAATGGACTACGCCTTCTTTTAACATCATGACCAGCATTAGACAATTGTGTGTCTAGTTTTTCTCTTCTTGCTCTGGCACGTTCCAGCATGCGCTAAAATCATTTCATAAGGTTCACATTCATTTTAAAGATAATTTAAAGCTTTTAAGTTCTATATATCACTCTAACAATGATAATAATTAACTCGACATAAAAATAATAATTTCAATACAAGTATTAAAAACCATTTCGCCAAAACTGTACTAAAAGTCAAAAATTAAATCAAATTTCTTACAAAATGTACTTTAAACAATCAAATATAAATTATTATCAATATTAAAAAATTATAAAATATCATCTGTGTTCGTATTTCATTTGGAAAATAGCCTGAAAGCTTCAAATTTTCATGGGAGTAACATTCAATCAAATATTTCAAACTACAGAATTATTAGATCGTAGAAAATACTAAATATAATAAATAATCAAATGGTCAAAATATGGTACAAATTATTTGCTCTTAAATATAAATATAAATAATAGGCCAGTGCATTAATCTATTCCATATTTTCCATCTTTTTAAATGAGAGTATCATTCATAAAATCATCCATCGCTATATTTCGATCATATTATTTATTGCCTCACCAAGGCGAAATTAATGAAAATTTTCAAATACATAATCGAAATTACTATTCTTCATATTTTTAAGCTAACAATAATAATTATAATGACATAATTATCATAAATTTAGAATGTGCATATAAGTACACATATACATGTAATAAATATAGTATGTGTATATAAACATGTACATTTGTGTGACTTGAGGTAGATTAAAGTTATTACGAAATAGAAAAATTGATTAATAAAATTATTCTTTCATTTTTTAATGATATATTTGAAAAATCATAAATTGATTTAATTTGAGTAATGTTTATGGCAACTTTTTTAATTACTTGAAATTTTCTGATAAAATAGGCTATTTTTATGATATAAAAATTTTATTAAAAAAAAAAAAAAAATAACCATAACCATCGATTACAAGTCAATGAAAATTTTTAGAGAAAATACGTTTGTAAAAATGCTTGAAAATAATTTAAAAAAAGGTAAATGAAATTGAATTCAATTAGATATAATGTACAAACATATATAAAGTAGAAAAAAAATCAATTACAAATTATCAGAAATACAACTAATAATAAAATAATTGAAATTATTTTATATATATATATATATATATATATATATATATATATATATATATATATATATAATGAAAGAGAAAGAGAGAGAAGTATAAAATGTACTATATTAAGCTAAAAACAAAAAGTATATATAAAACACCATTAATATTTGAAATGACATAATTAAAATGTTATGTGCTAGTCATATAGATAGAAAAGTATGAGTAAAGTTTAATATTAAAAGGAAAATTTGTCGAAGCTCTGAACTATCTTAGTAAAATAAATATAAGGATTTATATTAAGTATTTCAATATTACTATTTTTAAAATGAACTAATTTATGAAACGACTCAAATTTTGAAAATAAAAATTTTATACAATTATAAAAGATCATCAGGATATCACTGTTGCTAATTAACTAATCTGAATGTTTCATAAAACCATTCTCAATATTAAATAAAAAAATTAATCTATTTTAAGTAACTACTTGTGTATATATTTTGTAATTATTTCATTATTATATTTCTCCAATAATAGATTAATTATTTGTTAAATATATTATTACATTTCATTTATAATAGAATAATTATTAAATCCAAATTGCATACAACTGCACTTCCTTGAATTTTAATAAGTAATTTTCATTTAGTTTTTATTTTTAATCGATAGTTATTTTTATTTTGTTTTTATACGCCCATAACAAAATTGGTAAAAAAATGAAAGAATTTAAAGTATTTTTAAAATGTTGGTTAAGTAAAACTTAGGTTTTTTTGTTTAAATTATTAAATGTCGGACTTTATAATTATGAAATTAATTAGTGCCTTCCACATATATGCTTATATTTTACAAATTATATCGAAATATATAAAATTTATACGAACTTTCATTTAGATAAACTTATGCTTTTCATTTAATTTCTATTTATAAAATACAATTAATAAATATGAAATTATATATATTCATCTTTGAATGAAGTAAATAATATAAATTGAATTCTTACAAAAATTTTGTTTCAGAGTTATGTACATACGTGCATTTGTAATAAATTTATTGAATTAGTATTAATATAAATAACCGTTTAAACAAAATAGTATGAAATACGAGGTTATAAATGTATAATTTTTGTAAATAATTCCCATTATTAAAATTGTATCATAAATTAATTGTATTAGTTAAATATAAATATATACGTTTCGAAACAATTTTATGAAAATATTAAAAGAAAATACATCCCATTATTTAATATCCTTATAATATTGTATTGTACGGGATTTATTAAGCGAGTCTGCCGTTAGATATAGACCCCATAACAATTGTTTTCAACAAAAGATATAAGAGCATTTATTTACAGATTAAGGCACAAATATAATAAGTAACGTTGATTATCTTTGTGAAAAACTATGCAATATACTTTTCAATAATTATGGCAGAACGATGATTTTATATATTTTAACCATAAAATTCTACATACTTACATTATAAAATATTGCGTTGTATATTCTAACATGCGAGCACTACACAATAAATTTTCCTTTGATTATCATATATTGATTATACATTAGCTTTTTTTATTTGAATATTAGAGCGGCGTCTTTGTCTTAAGAAAAAGAAATTTTTTTCATCAAAAATTTGAAATATCCTATCTTGTCGAACTTATCCGATATTCTCTCTCATAACGTTTCTACATACATGTATATGCGTTAAATATTAAGAAATTAATACAATCTAATATATTATCTAATATAAATCAAATATAACAAGATTAGTGTCTTATTATTATAGATATTAAATAATATTCGAAGAATATTGTTAAAGATATTTAAAAAAATTTAATTTAGAAAGTTTTATGTAAACGATCTGCTCTGGTAAAAGCTTAATTATCTTTAAAAAAAAAAAAACAAAAATAGTTGGTTTATGATTTAATGTAATGTTTTTATCTGAAATTTAAATTTAAATTTAACGAAATTAACACTATATTTTTATTTAAAAAAAAAAAAAAGTCATTTTAAGACTTGAACGTCTGAATATCGTTAACTTTAACAATAGTTTAATTATTCAAATTATTATTGTTCATAGCATTATAAATATGTAAAAAAATAATAATAAAATAAAAATTAAAAATTAATATCAATCGGGGTGTTGGATAATATTAAATTTAAACAATTAATGTCTATAATTGTTTCCCAATATTTTGTAATTCACCATACACCATACCAAAATAGTTTTTAACACATCGTTTTACACGTTGTACGCAGAAACTCTGTTCCTAGCAAATGTCGGACAGATTCGACGTAGTTCGCCATTTGAAATCTTGAATAAACATAATTTACGACCTTTTATATATTTGATGAAGGAACACACATAATAAACCAAATTACATATTTATATAAATTAAACGTAAAATAATAATTTTAACATAAGACCATTGTAATAAAGATACATAAAAAAAACATACATTATTTTATTTTAAATTGTTTGCGAATATTGTTACTAATTTTATTTGAAAAAACATGATAGATAAATTTTAAATTATATATATTTTTAATTAAATCTTCTTAATTATTTTTAATTAAATTATTTACATTCTTATTACAAACTTGGTTATTCCCTGTTTGCTTCTTAAAGCATTATTCATCTGGACTATATTACACATGGACACCGTATGTGTTTCATTACATAAAGAGCAACTTACTATGCTATTAAAAGAATTGATATATATTTCTTTATAATAACGATAAAGAATGTAACTTGTTATATTATAATTGAAGCTCTTGTGTATTATCATGATTAAAATGTTAATCGTTAATAATTAAAATGTGTGTGTGTGTGTGTGTGTATATATATATATATATATATATATATATATATATATATATATATGAACGTTTAAAAATTAAAAAGTATAATAAAATTACTTGGCTCATAAGAAAGTTGAACAAAAATTTTTTTAAATAATATCGTCACATAATGCATAATGAATATTCTAATTGTAAACATTTAATATCATTATAAAAATGTAAATATGAGTATGAAAATTATATATTATGTTTATACCAGCATAATACTTTACGACAATAAAATCAATGTGCATGTGCGAATGCATTAATGTAAATTAATGATTCGCATATATGTAGAAATTTCGAAAACTTGGATCTCTTGAGATTTATCTAATTACTGAATGAATTTAATTCATCGGCGCGGAATTTTAAGTGATCGAATTTCAAATGTTGCATATACGAAATGCTTACACAAAGATAATAAAGACCTTTCAAATGCACATACGAGATCCTCACAGTCACCACATTCATAGTATTGGATTACTATGGTAGGATGGGACAAGAGAGGGAGAGGACTTACGCTCCAATATCTCTTCATTCAGTCATTAGAGTTTATATGTTTCTTTTGGAATTAAAAGAAGAAAAAAAGGTTAAAGCATTATTAATATATTTAAAATAATAAATTTTCTTCTTTAAATCATTTAAAACAATAATTGTTTAATTGCCGTTGCGTCTTCACTGATCCTAGCATTTATTCGTAAGCTTTTTCTGCGTATTTTACTATTATTAACAGTGGTAATTAATATTAAGCATAAGATCATGTTATACATGATTGGAAGAGTGAAATTTTATTTTTTACCACCTTTAGTCTCAAGTTTTAAAACTGAAGTTCAAAAGAAAGAAAGAAAGAAAGGTAAAAAAAGAAAAACAAAGCCTAACGTTTTCTTTAAAACGTCTCCTTTTTAAACGAAGGCGTACGAGAGTAATAAACCATACCCTATTATCATAGGACGTGACACGAATCTCTGATTTTTTTTCTAATTTTCATCCCTTTATAGCTATAATGGAAAAGTACTCGAAATAAGTTTTAACGAAATATCATAAATATTCACAACACGCGTCTATGCGTGTACATTTGTTTGTCTAACGTTTATCATTGTTTTATCAAAATAAAAATAAAAATTCATATTTAAAAAAAAGGTTTGACATTGGTGTAGCTTCTGCGACCAGAATTCCCCAATGATTGTGAGTTATAAATTTTAAGATGTACAAATTCGAGGAAGAAATTGGTGAAAATAGTCACGTCCAAAAGGTGTAAAAGCAACGGAAAAGTTGCCGAGGAGGTGGAGGACAAAAGTGAGCATTGCCAATACCTGGAGGCAGTTAAGGACTAGGCGTAGCATGAATAATGCTGACCCTAGGCTCTAAAATCCCGACCCAGTAGAACATTTAATCGGATTTAGGGCAGGTAAGCGGCGAACGCACGCCTCCGCCGTTGGTAGGCAAACTCCCTCTCACCACCACCACCACCACCCCCCCCCCCCCCCCCGCCCCCCCCCCCAAAAAAAAAACCAACTCACATCACCGCGCCATTTAACGCCCATTATTTATAAGAGCGATTATCGAGTTGCGCAACTTAAATATTACAGAGTCTTTGTACAGGCTTCTTTCTTTCATTAAGGTAAGGCTTTTATTTCTTTTATCTCTGATCATTTTCCCGTATTAAATAATGAGCAGGCGTTTGGTAACTTATTTTAGGAAGTTTTTCGTGTTTTTGAGATACGATGGAAAGAAACATTTTCTTTCGTCGCTTTATACATTAATGTATGCAATTCCATTAGAAAGTAAAAAATTTTGAAAGAAAGAAAAAAATTCCTTTAACAAAGTAACGATGAAGTTGGAGCAGTGCCGAGGCTTTGTAAAATAATGAACGTCGAGTGAAATAAAACAATTACGCCTTACCTGTGTGAAAGGGTCCATTGTCTTTGGCTCTCGTTTGCCTCGCGTGTTTTCTCGTATATCTCTCCGGTTCCTCCCCGACGCTCATCAAAGTCTTTATCTCGCGATAGCGACTGTTTCCTCGTCTCCTTTGCTTCTTTCAAACTCCCCCTCGATATCCAGCAGAGTTTGTCCGCAGCTGCCTAGGCGCGAATCCCCGCGCTCGCGTACCTAAGTGCGTACGCTATGCTTTGTACGGCTTTCGGCCGTTGAGTTCAAAATACGAGCGCTCGGTCCGAAGAAATCAAATGTCCCCGGTTTGTTTAATTGGCGAGCTCGTTATTATTAGGAACTCGCGTAGCATTATTCGTCCGCGGACCCCCTGCGAATATTTCCCTGACTACTTCGCTATTTATTCCCGTATTTTACTCCAAAAAGAACGGCCAGCAACGGGTGGGAAAACTTTAAAAACACTCGTAGCGTCGTGCGCGCCTGCCGCCACTGAAAAGCCTCGCAAACAGTGAACGGATGGTCGGGCCGCGTGCAACGTTGCCACGACTCTTTTTTTTTACCGAACCTACGACCGTCGCGTCTCTCACGGTTACGTGACTTTCGCGAAAATTCGGCGCCAACATTTAAATATCCTATTTACCAAGATGCCTTATAACCGAAAAAATTTTTAACAAATTTTTATAAGTAACTGATCTCGAGTAAAGTCATTATATATTACCTACCAGATTGCTTTCACGCTCATCTTATTTATTGAACATCTATTTTATATTGGCCATCGAGTGCTTCGTGCCATTGAAAAATATCGTATTATGTTGTATAACATAGAGATTATCTTGAATCGTGATAAATTACATATTAAAGATAAATACTCGTTAAATCATCGACAACATGTAAATAATAATTAAGAATATCTTCGAAACATTATTTTAAATATTGTTATAACCCGCTGCTATTTATTAAAAATGCACTGAATATCAATATCGACAATATAAAGAAATTCACATATCGTGACGAATTTTTATTTGTAACTTTTTGCATTTTATTCTTAATTATATAATTAAATATTGTTAATCGTACGCGATGGTATTATTAATGTAATATTTTAATGTAACTCTTACAAATTTAAAAATATTTATTTTTTTTTTTTTTTTTTTTTTTTTTTTTTTTTTGAAATTTAAATCGTGCAAAATGAATGGCAACGATATTTGGCAACATCGCATTTAAATTGTCGTTACAGAGAACCTCATAGGAGAATTTAAATTTTCCTTCTTAATCAATTCGTCTCGTGTGATTTAGGAATGTAACTGTTACACCAAACTATACTTAAAAATGAGAATGTTTCGCAATATTAAAAAAAAATTTTTTTTCTAATATACCCTATTATTTAAAATGAACTGTATGTGAATATATTTATTACATATAATTGTCGACTTTGCGTTTATTTTAATTAATTTTAATGTTTTTATACGATGATACCTATTTTAAAATTCCGAACTATCGGAATTAATATTAGTATTGAAAAATAAATATAAAAAAATTTTTATCAATATGCAATCAATATTATGTTTTCGAAATAAATATTACATTTTATGCACATTAAAGAAATAATTAACATTATCGCATTTCACATATTCACTATGAAGTAAAATCTTTAAATACGTGTAATTATTTTTAACTAATCATTTTAAACGAAGAAGTTTCCTTATTTTCCGCTCTACGCCTGTTTATCTACATTGTTTGTTTGTAGTATAAATAACGACCGTAAATCGTGATTATTAATTCACAATTTGAATGTAATTTTACATTCAATTATTTAGAAATAAAATTATTAATATACAATTACATATCAATATTATTGCCAAACTTTTTCGATCTTTTCGAAAGTTTTCTTAAAGGAATGTTGCTTAGTTTTATATTGTTTATATTCATCTAACCTTAAAAATGGAATTGGCTTCCTTACTTAGAAATTATATTGCTTCCAAAAAACGTGAGTTTTTATAAATAAATTGATCAGTGCTTTATTAAAGTATTAACAAATACATTTTTATATATTTTAATTAGTTTCGAATGACCCAGCTGAAGATGAAAATGAAATGGAAAGGAGAGAGGATCAGCATTTTCAAGCAGTTTATGGAAAGTGGAAAGGTGCAGATGCTAAAGATACAGACATAACTTATAAAGTGATACCTAAATTTTATTTTAAGGTAAATTCATCATGTTTTGAGTATATTCATTAATTCGAAATTATTTAGAAAATGTTATTCTGTAGTGAAAAAATTAATGAACTTAACGAATCGATTGAATAAGCTGTCCTTTTAACTCGATATATGCAGATTCCCAAAGAAAATGAAATATTGCCACAAAAGCTTAGAGAAGAAACAAGAGCACTATTTTTACAAAGGCGTTCCAGACAATTATTAGATAATAATGAATTGAAAGCATTATGGGTGCTACTCGATGAACATCACAGTCCTCCCATATCCGGAGATGAGCAATTAATCAATTACGAAGACTTTAAAAAAGTTGGCAAACTTGCTGGTGCAAAATATAACCTGTATTTTACTGCTGTTGTTTTTGCCAAATTACAGCAGGGAGATCCACGTGGAAGAATTAGCATTATGGCACTTTTTAATTATGTCATGAGGAAAGTGTGGCTGCATCAGACTCGAATAGGACTGTCGTTATATGATGTTACAGGACAAGGTTATCTTCGCGAATCGGTAAGTGCCAATTATTTCTCTAATTTATTAGATTTATTTTACATATTAGGTTAAACATTCTAATAAGCAGTAGAAATCATTTCTTGTTGGTTGCATTAAAAATAAGTTAATATAACAATTATGCAGAGTAATTATTTATAATAATGTGTGTTTATTAAATATATAAATAGTATTTAATTTACTAAAAGGTACTTATATTTTACAGGATTTAGAAAATTATATTTTGGAATTAATTCCGTCGCTTCCTCAGCTCGAAGGACTGGAAAAATCATTTCACTCGTTTTATGTTTGTACCGCAGTTAGAAAGTTTCTTTTTTTCTTGGATCCTCTTAGGACTGGAAGAGTACGTATACAAGATATTTTAGCATGCAGTTTTTTAGATGATCTTTTGGAACTACGCGATGAAGATTTACCAAAAGATCATCAAGAAGCGAATTGGTTTTCAGCGCCGTCTGCACTGAAAGTATATGGTCAATATTTAAATCTTGATAAAGATCACAATGGCATGCTTAATAAGGAAGAATTATCTGGGTAAGACTCGATAATACTTATAAAATTGAATAAAAACTCTTAAGCATTTTGAATATCTATTATATTTTAATTTAAACAAATTATTGAATAGATATGGAACTGGTACATTAACTGGAGTTTTTCTTGAAAGAGTTTTTCAAGAATGTCTAACTTACGAAGGAGAAATGGATTACAAAACATATCTTGACTTTGTACTTGCATTAGACAATCGTCACGAACCCCAAAGTTTACATTACTTATTTCGAATTTTAGATATTAATAATCGAGGTTATCTGGATATATTTTGTCTGAATTATTTTTTCAGGGTAAGAAAATAAAGCCACATTCAATTCTAGAACAAAGTAACGAATTTACACGATTTTTATTTATTACTACACAAAAAAAACATTAAAATTTACCTTTTAGTGGCATTATTGGTATTTTTCTATCGCTAAATTTATATTAATGCAGTTAATTTGTAATAATGATTAAGAAAAATTTGAAAACTATATCGTTATTTTTATTAATATAAAAGTATTATGAAAAATAAAATCAATGTAATTTATAGGCAATTCAAGAGCAAATGACTATGCTTGGACAAGAACCTGTAAGTTTTGAAGATGTAAAAGATGAAATATTTGATATGGTGAAACCATCAGATCCATATAAAATTACACTACAAGATCTTTTATCTTGGTAAATATTTATGGAAAGTTTTAACATTTAATGCTTTATGTAATTTATTTGAATTTTCACGCTTTCATAAATATTTCTGATTTCAGTGGTAAAGGTGATACTATGGTTAGTATTTTAATTGAATTTCATTGTTTTTGGGCATATGAAAACCGGGAAGCAATGGCAATAGATAGTGGAGATGAATCATCTCATGTATGACAACTGTGATTTTATTATTAGTTATAATAATTTCATAATTTATTTTTTTATAATGCAATATATACGTATATATATATATATATATATATATATATATATATATATTTTGATTAATTTTGTAAGACATAACAAGTGCCTTATTGATTTAATAAAATACAAAATACACAAACACACATGTATTTATTAACAACCCACAATTTTTTCTTCCTCGTCTAATGCGCGCGTTGTTATTGAACCATAAAATTTGTTTACAAATGGTGGATACATGGTAACATTTTATCATTTAACCATAATCAATTAAGCTTTATTTAAATATGGCAGAAAATATATTATCATCTTGGGAAGTTGAAGCTTTCATAGAGAATTTACAAGCTTCAAATCTCGAAAATATTGGGTCAAAAGGGTGAATATAAAAATATTTGCGCGTTAAAACAACTTAAATTATTTCAAAAATAAAATTATGTCAGTGTATGTTTATTCTGTAGATGGTTTGAATATCATAAGAAATTGATGCTTTTAAACCAACAAAGTATATTTGAAATAAGTGGTTTACAAGAAGAAAGCGTGAAAGAGTGGTTTATTACATTTAAAAAAGTTAGTAACAATCCCACATGTACTTATTAATTTTATTCATTGATCACAAATTACAATATTCATAATTTTAGATTCCCATTTTAGTTTATGAAGCTATTCAAATAATGATATGGAAAACGAAAGTTTTTCCATTAATGATTGAATTATACGGAGAGCCAACAAATACTTTTTTTGTATTTAGTGTATTTTATCATGAAGGAATATCAGTTTCGCTGCTTGAAAATGTCTTGTATTACTCTGATAGTGCAGAAACTATAAGCGACTATATAATTGATTTAATAGACTATGCTGTGAATTATCTAACAATGCTTTTGTATTCGGATAAATCAAAAGCATCCACTGATAACAGGTAAATAAATTTACAATTTGAAATTGGAGCTTACAAAAATTATTAATAATTAATTGTCTTTAGTACGTGTCTGGATGACTTGATGGATACAAAATCAAAAATAGAATTTGATATTGGTATGAGGTGTATCTCTATCATACGCTATTTAGCTGAATTTGCTGATAATTTACCTCTTTGCGCGCTATCACGAATGTTGAGCATAAACGATGTCCCTTATTTATTTTCTCAATTAATTGAATTGCAGCCATGGAAAAAACGTAACGATAAAGGTAATAAGTATCTTTAAAACTATAATTATACAAACTTAATGTAATAGAAATAAATAAATGTACATACGCAGGCGAAATAATGATTTACAATGGAAAATGGGAAAAATTAGAAGACGAAAATATGGATAAGATTTGTAATTTTGAGGGCCAAGTATGGTTTGGTCTCAGAGAACTTTTACTCAATCCAAAATGTGCACCGTATTACGATATTACGGAAGTTCGAATGTCTCAATTATTAAAAGTATATTGAACATTTGTATAACATCAAAAGAATAGGAATTTCATAATTTTCATGAATAATTTCACTTCAGTTGCAGAAATATATCCAAGAGCATGTTCTTGACCAAATAGCTCCATTGATAGAACTTCGAAGATGGCTAAGCTATTTAAACATAACTTCGCAAACCCCAAATAAGCAGCGACCAATAAATGTTGAAATGATTCCAGAAGTAATAATTAATATAAAATTTTATCAAGAAACTTATTATAAAACCAACTTTATTGTATTGCAATTTTTAGATAAGCAATTCAATTAAAGAAAAACACGATAAAAGATGGAAGAGATTAGCAGAACATCACGCTAAAACTTTATTTTCAAAAGATATAGAACATATTAAAAGTATGGCACAAATTTTAAGCGACGCCTATGATTTTGATAAACTTGATATCATAGATACTAAAAAGTGTCAGCGATGCAAGAAAGTTGCAAAGCATCGATGTTCAAGATGCAAAGAATCTTGGTATTGTGGAAGGTACATTGTAATCTTAATTAATTTTGAAAATTAAATTAAACAATTGTTTATTAAAAATACGATTTTATATAATACAAGAATTAAGAATACTTAATTAAATACAATAATTAAAAATTTTATTTTAGAGAATGCCAAGTTAAAGATTGGACAAATCATAAAATCATTTGTGAACAAATTTTAAAAGCAAAAGAAAAATGTAATGAAAGTGATTAATAAAATATCAGCAACGCTTCGATATTTTAAGCCTTAGATTTCCCATAAAAGTAAATTTATCTTAATAAAATAAATAAAATAACTTGTAGTTTCTTTTGAATAAATTTTATTAAAAGATACCTAGTGTACAGAACTTTGTTTCAAATATTCCATAAGAACATCCTTAGCTGGAGTCTCTTCTCCAAAGTCCTGAAATAAAAATATTTATGTTTGATAAGTCGTATTATTTATTTTAATCGAACAAATCCCGATACATTATCTTAAATTATTGGTATAGCTTATTTCAGCATAATCTTTTAAGTTTCAACAGGTAAAGAGGAATTTGAGTTATAATCGAAATAATAATGTTTACCAAAAATTAATGAAGTTGTTGATAATTTAAAAATCCTATATTATAATAATTATAAAATCAGTGATAATAATGGTTCGTATAATTTACATTAAAGATTAGAATGGAAGTTTGAATTTAAAGATGTGCAATTTTTTAAATAACAAGATCAAATAATAAATTTTATTTGATAAATACAGAAGATAATGTTTACCTTAATAACTACACAAGAGCAGCCAACAACTTTCCTGGCTTTGCCAGCATTATCAATTTTACACAGACCGGCCCATTCGCCTAACTTCTTATTATTATCCACTTTAATTAAGGGAATCTGATGTTCATTGCATAGCGCTTGAACAAGTTTTTTATACATAGGTTCGTCGCAATTTTCTGCTAAAATGCACAACATAGCTTGTCTCCTAGAATATACAATTTTTTGTTAATAAATGTATAGAATAAACGATAAATATTAATTATGTAAATACAATATAATCAGAAAGGCTTGCATCAGCATATTTTTAAAATTTGGGTTCGTCTAAGAAGAGGGAGCCTAGTTATCATCATTTGATAAATTAAAAATAAGCAATTAATATTAAGTCTTGTATTATTACATCGATTATCAAGTCCCATTAAAACTTAACACTAATCCAAAAAAAAAATCTACTTACTTGTCAAGAACCTTTGCTGCTTCGTGAAGACCATGTACAACTCCATCGTGAATTGTGGCATTCTTTAAAACGTCTTGAAGTGCCGTATGCACGTCCATTTGCCCTCCTGCCATCATCGCAGAGGGCACATCGTCTCTGAAAATAAAAAAATACAAATATTAAACCAATTATCTACCGGGACTTTTTTACAATTGCGCCAATTTGTAATTATAGGTTATAGCAATAACGAGTAGCAGTATTTATAACCACAAAAATTCTTAAATTAATTTAAGCAAGAAGTAATATATTTTAAATATTTTGACCAATAAAAAACATACGATACTCATGATTTAACATTTAAAAAAATAAATAAAAACTACGTCCAAGTTACTTACGTTTCCACGTCAGACATACTTGTCAAAAGCTTTTATGCCTAAAAATAAATAAATAATATTAGATTTTAAATATTCATGGATTAATCTCATGGATTTCTTATATAATTATTATAAAGATGTCCATGTTAATAGTCGATTTCTATAAACACAACACATGACACGCGTCCTTTACCTTTTCTCAATCAGGAAAGAGAAATGGCCACGCTTTTATGCCGCTACCATAATGAATATTTTAGAACGGAAAAACACAACTTGCTTACTGCGCCATCTACATAAAATTTCATAAAATTATTCCATTTATGAAAGTTTTATGAAAGGGCAGTGTGGCTTCTTTTTACCGACCCATTTCAAATAAATATAATTCGTTGACAATTGGCGAATTTATCTGAACTTTTCATACGTGCGCTTGAAATTATAATAATGTATATTACAACTTCAATATACACCTTTCATTTTATTTAGAGTCGTAATGCTAAATGACTGACATAATCATGTAAAATTAATTAATGAATTCCACAAAAAAAATTGGAAATTCAGCATTTTAATAATTAGCTTATTAATTACCTTAATGAAAAAAGAAAGGAAAAAAAACAAGAATTCTCTATAAATCAGTAAGATTTTTAATGATTTCTAAAATTCTATAAAAATTTTTAAAATAAGTCATGTAATAAAACTTAAATTTTGTATTTGTACAAAAATGACATTAAAATAATTATAAGGATATGGAAGAAAAACACATTTAAGAAACTTATTGACAACTTGTTTTGCGAATATTTTATTCTATAAATACAAACGCCCTTACACACCTTACGTTATTCGATAAATTGTACGCTGCTTTCCAATTCTTCTAATTGTAAGTTAATATTTCATTTTTTGCAAAATGATGCAAAGCTTTCATCATTTTTTATAAGTACAACTATTTCCAGTATTCGAGATTCTATTTATATATAATTATTCACCGGCATTATACACTATTTACAATATAAAAAGACAATTGTAAATTACAAAAAAAATTCTAACACAATTTAAAGTTATTGTCAAATACAAAGGTATAATTAAATATACAATTACATTTCATTGGTAAGTATATTTCTTTAAAAAATAACACATTATTATTTTATTCATTAAAATAAGACGAGAATGAAGTATTTATTTTAATTTTCTATTTACATTGGGTGTTTCCTCAATATTTTAGGAAAAACTTCTATGTGAATTAAGAAAAATTTCTAAATACTTAATTGATAGTTAAAAAAAAAAAATATATATATATATATATATATATATATATAATTACAGATATATTTGTATAGTATTCGATTCATACGAGATTTAATCTTTTTATATAATTTTTATAACCACGATTTCGCTTCTTTTTTATATTTCATACGATTACAAAATGTATTATATAAATCTCTTAAATCATTTAAAAAATACACATATTATATATTCATTCATTTGCAAAAGATACTTGTGGCTTGAAATTTTTTTTTTATACAACAATTTCAACATATATCAATATTCTGAATTACCATATATATTTTTTATACTTGTGAATATATATTTTTTAATACTAAATTTAAAGATTTTGTCTTAACAAATCATATAAATATATCTAATTGAATCAAAATTATAATTATTCTTATATATTTTAACAAAATGACGAAAACTATTAAAAAATTATATGGTATTTACAATTTTAACTTAACCAAGTAATTAGAATGTTACATTAAGACACTTTTATTTTGTTTATAACAACTGTATGTGTAATTTACTAGATTATATGTAATAGTTCCTTTTATATTATAAAAACTATTAAATAAATTTACAAAAGCAGTTTTACTCTTTCATTATAAACGAAGTCTTAAAATCATTTTAATATTTAATGTTAAAAGTACAGTCTGTACGAGAATTATTAGGTACTTAATCATTGCCATTTTCATCGTTCATCGATAATTTTTTATGTATTTTTCCACGTCCTAAGTTGTATCATAATTTTACTTTATTCTATCAAATCATCGTTTTACTGAAAAAAACTGTAATAAGAGCAACATATTACAAATTAAATAGTATGAAATTTGCAAATAAATATTCGATTTGACTAGCAAAGAATAAATTTATGAATCAACGCGTTAATATTCTTAACAGTACAATGTCAACATTTATTGAAATGATATCTGTATATAAAATAACTGAAGTTTATAAATAAAATCTATTTTAGTTCCATGTAGATCTATTTTAGTATTCGTATTTGTGTCGATTTATATATACATATACATATATATATATATACATATACATATATATATATATATATATATATATATATATATATATATAGACACACATAGAATTTATGCAAATTCAGACTAGATCTGATACGCATATATATACATATGCATATAATTAAGAGACAGAGAAAATATTTTACAGTTTAAAAATATGTAAAATCTTTATTATTTGTTATATTTATTCAGCTATGAAGAAAAATTCAAATAAAAATTTTTATTTAAAATCGAAATAGCAGACGTTAAAAATAATATATAAAAACACATTTATTGTAATTTTAATTAAGTTTTAATATTATAATTGTTAGGTATTATTAAGAGCAAATTTTTTAATATTATAAATAATATTTATATTTATGATTGAAAATAAAATTTTATGTTATTCTATGTTTGCTAATTTGCATATAAAATGCTTTTCAATATATTTATTGCTTAATTCATTTTTAAATAGTAACACATAGTATTTTGATAAGTAAATTTTTGTTTTTTTTTCATTATTTTTTTTTTTTTTTTTTTTTTTTAATATACCCTAAACGAAGAAATACATAATGTATTACGAATACAATGTTTCAAAAGCTAAGATATAAAGTATCACAAGTAATATTTTTATGTTTTCCATATCAACAATGTCTATCAATAATATGTGTAACTATGTATTAATAATAAAATGTGTTATTAAAAATAAATGTTACATCTTAAATTACACATACATATGGAATGAATTTGTATTTAATTATAAGTACATCTAAATTGTATAATGAAATCATAATCATAAATATACTTCATTAAGCAAATTATTTATTTCAAGCAATGAATGATAAACTATAAATCAATTTAATACTATTAATCTACTGTTACGTGATTTTGTTGTTTATTGTTGTTGCGATTATCCAATATTAATATTATTGTAAATAGTTGATTTGTTGTAAATAGTTTATTCATTGTAAATAGTTTATTCAGTTATTCTGGAAATAATTTTACTGGAATGTCTCGTTTCCTGAATGTCGTATTAAAATATTTCAAAAAAATTCTTATACATTATTAATTTTTTATCGAAGTATATCTCTATTTTATAAGAGCATATGGAATTTATTATAAATAAAATTCAACATAAAGATCTAAGCCATAGAAAATTAATTATTAATTTTAGTAGTTCATTTGAAGTCAAGTAATAAAGATTTAAGCTTAATCAAGTTCAATATGCAACCAGTATTAAAAGTCTCTTAAATTCCATAATTTATTGTTTTATAAATGAATGACTTATTTTGAAGTGTGATTGAATAATAGTTTTTAAAAAATAAATCTTTCTTAACAATTGATGTTATAAGGGGAAAAAATATCTAAAATTATATAGAAATGAAGAATAATTATTTTAATGGAAAATTAAAACGATATGACATAATAATAATATAACTAAATAATTGATTGAATGTAATTCAGAAATAGCTCTTTTGATATATCGATACCTGTAAAAGAGGTACTTTGATCGACGGGAATGAAGAATAAACGAAAAATATAATAATTGTATATTGATTTTCAATTCATAGCCTGTAATTGATCATTTATCCACTTTACCAATGCTTTTATATTTTTCAATGTTATTTTATTCGATCGTATTATTACATAAGCTTTTGAAGTTCATTACCAAGAGACTTTTTTTCTACGTAATCACATTGGAATGAAAGATCAAGCTTATATATTGTGAGAAAGTATGAAGGGTTACTACGTAAGTTGCAATTTAATGTACAGTAAAAGAAAAGAGTAAGAAGCCTTAATGCCGACAAAAGTATTTCAATTACAATTCGAAACAATAAATTCATTGTCGATCATGATCATGAAATCATGATCGATAATGGTGCTTGGCATACATTAATATTTATCTCGTTACGAACGTATAGGTAGATTTCTACATAAAAGAAGAAAAAAAAAACGAAAAAAAAGGACAAAACCAAAAGTAAAAAAAAAAGAGAAGAAAATAAGCACGTAAAGAAAGAAACACGGAGACAAAAGGAAAACATTCAAACGCACACACAATATGATAAGATCAGGTAATAAAGCAAGTGATTTATCACAGACTTATGAAAGAGTTCATTGATCGCCTTTGCAAAAGGAAATGAAAAGCTCGCGGTCATTACAAATGTCGCGAATGTCTCTTAGGGTCGGGGAACCACGATCGATCAACTGTCGTCAAAGCGAGTTGAAGCCGCGGCTGCGAGACCTTGGGACCTTGGGACGGCGATTCCGGATCTCCATCGACATGCTCCATTTGCGGCCGGGACTAGGTCGGCGCCGAATATCGGTACGGCCAACAGTAGTGAGGTGGGGGCGGCGGAGGCGGCTGTCCTTGGTGCGCGGTCGTGGACACGGCGGACCCGTACAGATGATGGTGTTGATGGTGATGTTGATGCGTGTGGTAACCTGGAGTAGCGGCCTCGTGGCCGACCCCTGCCTGCGCCTGACAGGCCATCATCAGCCCGTGGAAGTCGAACTTGTAGGCGTAACGCTTGCCGTGCACCTTCGTCATGATGTTCTTGTCGTAGTAGTACCTGCCGGTCACGAGCACTGATCAATGCACGAGCTGCCAACATGCGGAGGTCCGACCTCTACTATATTTCATGTGCAAATATATATTATGCGTGGCTGTCTTACAGTCGAAGGTAAGGGTCGACATTGTAGATAAAAGCAGGTAGCGAATTCTTTTGAAGCTAAATTTCATACTTGGTTGATACGTAGAGAGTAACAGTGTATTTGTGCTTGTTTCCCGGCGTAATTGTTCATATCAATTAATATATAAGAATTGCATATCTTGCTCAAATAAATCAATATAATGTTATATTCAACGAGTCAACGGTGTGGAAGAAGCTATCTTTTGCATTGTTATCGTAGTATATCAATATGAAAGATTTGGAATATAAAAATAAAGTCAAACTTTCAGGCTCCTACAGTTTTAAGGAGGTAAATGTGCACAAATGAAGAAAAGGAAATAATTAACTGCAAAATTCATACGTAACTTGTTTCAACATTAGCGAAATGTCAATTATTAGAAACGTATTGAATTAATCAATGGTCGATTATTATAAAAATTAACAATGCTTTTCGCATATTGTAATAATGTTTAAATGATTTGACAATTTTGTTGTCGATTATAGTTATTTCAATGCGTAACGCTAATGTTATTAAACGCAAATTGACATTTTTCACGCAGAATTTTCGTAATCTACATAATCTACATAATTCTAGTGGTTAATATCAAGTTACAACGAACAATTATTTCCATCGTACTTATCGGTCATTGTAACAATTTTTCTCTTTAAGTACTACACGAGTAATATTTGTCCGTTAAAAAACGAAGGGAAAAGTGACCAATCGTAAAATAAAATTGAAAGTCGTAAGTGAATTCAACATAGGTATAATATATTCGATATTAAATCAAATGATTTGCGAAATACCAAAAATTTCGTTTTATAATGGAGCGTCTTTAATTTCAAGTTGCTTTTTAATCAGATTCAAAGGTATTGAGTCTAATATAGAAATAATCAAACAACGTTCAACTTTGTCGTTATTGGCGTTTATTATTGCCAAACGAAGCATTGGATGTATATAATGAAGTTTTTTCAATTTAATTATGTAGGAAAATTCTAATTAATTGTTACTAAAGGATTTTCATTGTCGGGAAAAACATTAGAGATAGTGATAGTTATAGAGGTGGGACGGAGGGGGGGGGGAGAGGAAGGAAGGAAGGAAAGAAAGAAAAGGCAAAAAAGTAGTTGAAAGTAGAAAGTTATGTAAGTTGTTCTTCTCGTTGGTGAATAACGAAACATTCAATAATTATAAATTATACGTGCATTTGTAAAATGAAAATGAACTCCAAAGAGCTCGCACACGGAAATAAGGACAAGCGATGATAAAAGGCTGATAAAAGACATCCAGTATTTTTTTCTTTTTTTTTTTTTAACAAGGTATGGAGCGATTATTGAATGACGGGTATTCAATGACTTATTGGAAAGTGGGAATAATCGCAGGAGTGGCTGTTTGGCGTCAAGAAATAAATAAAGGCGAGTCGCTGTTAGGGCTTAATACTTCATGCTTGTCGGGTAGATAAAATGGGAGGGCAAGAAGGGAAGTGGGATAAAGGGGATTGGAGGTACCGAGTAAAGGTCAATCGAGAGGGTAAAGCGAATTGGTAAAGGCAATCGGTCGGATGGGGGTTGGTGGGTGTTGGTGGGGGCTTACCTGAGGGCGCGCGATAGCTTGTCGTAGTTCATGTTGGGCTTGGACTTCCTCTCGCCCCATCGGCGCGCCACCTCGTCTGGGTCCGTGAGCTTAAACTCGCCGTTGGCGCCCTCCCACGCGATGCACGTCGCGTTGGACGAATCGGCGAGTAGCTCCAAGAGGAACTGCCAGAGCTGGACCTGGCCGCCCCCGAGCGGCGCCCCCGACGGTCCGCCGCTGACGCCGCCCGCCGCGCCAATCAGGGAGCACGTGCGCTGCAGGAGGCCGAACCTCTCTGAAAGCCAAGAGAGCGGGGATACGGACCCTATCACTAGCCACTCATTTCGCGCGTGTGCGTGCGCGCCTATCGGCCGTCCCCCTTTTTTCTTTCTCAAAACGCTCTTTTCCTGCCAAGGTCCTCACTGGGCCTACGTCATCCGCAGAGTCATGCGACGACGGGCGCGGGAGCCCCATTAAACAGGACAATTTTCAAAAAGCTCGAGCTCGCTCCTCTCCTGCTAGAGAAACGCGGCCTCTATCTCCTCTATTATAGTAGTAACCTTAGCGCTCAGTTATGCGATTTCAGTTATCTTATTTTTCAGTGACACCGATTAAAGTAGGCTTACGTGAATATTGCGTTGAAAGTGCGCTGATTATAAACGAAATATTACATTGTCTGTCGATCTCTGCCAAATTCCGGCATTCAAATCTTTATATCCATGCCCATTTATAGCTATATTATTTCAATTATTTGGATATCTTTCTGCTGATTTGCTGCTTTATGAATATTCTTTTGTAAAGATAAAGGAAGTAAAAAGTCAAAAACTTGAGGCATTTATGTGAATGACAATTTTTGCGCATTCCACGCATTCCTCGTATTAAATATGCTAAAAATAAAAAATATTTTTTTCGAAACGATGCCCCATTCTATTGCTATATTATCGTACTTTATCGGACAAAAAGTATAGTGATACTTAAGTGACTCAAATAAATGTCCTTCGATTTATACTGATGTTTTTTAATTCCAGATGTATCTTGAATTAAAATAAGTTCATGACAGCACTGTCTTAAATGCCTTTAACGCCGATAAAGAAATCCTAAACATTGTTATACACTTACACTTATACGATAAATGTTGATAAGATTTTTTCGAATTAATTTCTTCATAATTAAATGATTTCATAATTTATGCTAACCTATTTAAATAATTATTATGTATGCTGATTTTTTTAATCACGTAATCGACAAGTAATCGACATAAGCAATGAAGTCAGATACAAAAAATATGTATTCTTGCAGTATATTATATATTTTTTTCTAGAATTTTCAAATATAATTATACTGCGTTGATGCAATAATTCTACAATATAAATAGCATTTCAACTCTTATCACGATTTTCATTTTAATCAAAATAGCAGCTACTGGTCCAACTTTATAATACCTATAATTAAACAATTAACCATTCTATATATTTACAGTTCAATTGATTTTTTCTCTTTTAACAATATTTTCTTGTAAATTGAAAATTGTAAATAAAATTTACCATCAACGTAAATTTTCAGATTAAATTGAATGCAATTATTATAATTATATTAAATTATTCAAACGTATCTGTATTAATTAGTTCCAATCTACGATATTCTTTCACAAAATATCAATATAATTCGTTAGTTACATTAAAGTAATATCTAATTGCATTGAGAGTAAATAAAAATGACAGTAAGTCAAAATAATGGTTTTAACGAAGAGAAAAAGCATCGATGTTAATTACAAATTAATTTTTTATGTTAATACTAATTGTCCAAAAAAAAAAAAAAAAAAAAAAAAAAAAAAAAAAAAAAATGCTAAACGAATAAATACTTTTAATAGGTTACATAATTAAATAATAAGAAGATACTAGTATACATGTCTTTTCCATGAAAATAAATAAAAGAAATTTTTGGGTAAGAAATTGAAAAATAGATAAACGTGTATATAGTTCCTCGAATATTTTCATAATAAAATAAAATTAGTTACGACCGACTTTTATAAAATTTAAAATCGAAAATTTTTTACATCATATATAATAGCTACATCGCGCTATATGTAAATTTCAGAAAATTTACGAAAATACTGTTACTTATAATATAGTCAAATGTTAGGAATTGGCGATAATGATGCCTTCTAAGTACAGAACTATAACTGTTAATGTTATTCTTGCAAATTGTAGTTACACAAACTAATAAAACAAGTACTAATCAATTAACAAATAGATTTTGTTTAGTCATCCTTGCAAGTGTATATTACTATTATTATTTTGTATTTTATTATTGAATTTACTTTAAGGGAGCATTGTAATTATATCCGAAAAGAATGAATCTTAATCGATTATTATCTGGACACTAATTTCCATGCCATTGTATAATTAATTTTTAATGAATAGATTAGATATAACTTTAAACGACTCGAGAATAAAAAATTTCAATTAACAATAAATAAATCATATGAATTTACACGTACTAACCAAAAGCAGCGCATTGTCTTTCATTTCTCGATGTACAATTGATCCACGTGAATTTGTCTATGAGTATATTAAATTAATGGAAATAATACTTATTTCCGTTAATCACTCTTTAAACTCATCGGAATGAAAAATGTTATCATTTTTCAAGAACCGGAAGGCTTTATAATTACACACTTGGCGTAAATTTTGGAATTTTCATCATCAATTTACCGATACAAATGATGCGCAGAATAAACAATCATTTGCATAATTAATTGATTTCACTGTATTATTATTACTATTATTATTATTATTATTATTATTATTACTAGAAATTATGTTTAATTTAATATGATCAATGTTTGATTGTTAGTCTACCGTTATAAAGAATAGCTGCTGCTGTCGGATGTAGCCGCGTGTCCTGTTGAAGATGCAACGGATGAGTCTGAATTCTCCACATCACTTAAAGGCTCGAAGGACTCGTCCTTCCTTTTGTCGAAAGGCGAAAGTCGATAGTACGTGGTGCATATTAGTTAACTTTTCACAGTGCATCAATCCTATTTACATTTCTGTAATTATTCGTGTTATCGATTTATTGCTGCTTTGATTCTTATATAAAATGTCATATTGCTGAATTTCTTTAATATTAGCAGTCAATAAAGACGCTGTAGTTTGGCTAAACGATTTTCGTAATTACTGAAATTTGCAATAAAATAATTATGACCTTGTAATTCTACTACTTATCTTTTTACATATATCTTAAAAATATATAATTTATTCAAATTATCGTATTTTATGATTATTATTATATATACATAAGTACACGCGCATAAACACTCGCACTCACACTCACACGCTACACACGCCACACACACACACGCACACACGCACACAAACACACACACAAACAGAGGTATATAATTTTTTGTTTTGCTTTTTTTTTTTGCCTCTTTTTTGTCGATGATGATTTTATTTATGAATATACTATTATTTTAAGGCAAAACTATGTCTTGTCGATTGTATAATCGATTGTAAGATAAGGCATTAAATAGAAAATATTTGAATACTGTTAATAGAAAGACTTAATTTAGTCGTAATATGCGATTGTTAGCATTGAATTTACAACGCGTTAACGATTCGTTATAGAAAGTAAGAAGTAAGATTAACCGAACGTGACGAAATTGCTAATTCGTTCGAATGATATTAAATCGCGCACTAGTAAATCCGGAGTGGCCGACTGAAGAAAAACCAAAATAACAGTGCCAAAAGCAAAGTAAACATGGGTTATTTAACGTAGTTAAGTAACGTCGCGGCCGGAAAGGCTTAAAAGAGTTCGCGGGAAATCGGAAAATAAAAAGGTGCAGCGGATGTCGATAATGAAAGTACACGTCAGCTGTCGCCGTTTATCGAGCCCGAAGATGTGCGCGCGAGGCTAAGAGGTGTGATACGCTTGGAGCCTGTTGGTGGACGGAACGTAACTGAGCGACCTTTACCCCCGCCGAGTGATTTCAGACCTTATCGTCCACCCCGGCGTACCCCCCACCTCCTCATCATCAGCCCGGCGCCCCATTCTTCAACCCCTCGACGGGGACCTGCTTTCTTTCCCTCTCGTCTTTTTTCACACACGACGTTTTTTGCGCAACTGGCCTTCCGTTCTCTGCGCGCACACTGCCCAATAAATAATTGCTCGCTCCTTCAAATTTACTTTACAGCTATTTATGCGTTCCCAACTCGGAGCTCGATGATTTTCACGCAAAGCATTATGCCCCTTTATAACTTGCGTTATCATGTTGTCGTCTTTATAGTTTAGACATAATGCTTACGTGGCAGACTCTTGTGACAATTTGTTAATGGCAAACTATTCGATTATTGAGAGCCGATCATTGTCTTTGAATCAACGTCATTTATTAAACAGAATCGTAGTTTTAGGCATTTTATCTCGACATCCGTCCAATTCAAAATTGCTTTTGTTTTCAAAATGTGCCACTGCAATGCACAGAACGAATTATGATATAATAAATAACGTTATGGCACAATTTTTCATCTATCGCATTATTTTAGTCAATAATGCTTTTCATTAAAATAGAAATAAAAGATTTATATATATATATATATATATATATATATATATATATATATATTGTAATGAAATAGTTATGGCAATAATAATACTAAATATTTATCGCTCATTAACAAATAGATTGATGAGAGAATATTCAATTTTATTATGCTTTCATACGATGAAATGATTATTTACTTATCCAATCGTACTACTATGAATAAAGCGTCGAGAAAAAAGTCGTTCGGATAAGCGACATTAAGGAAATTCATTTTCTTCTAATGATGCAGTCACTCGAGAATTAGCTTGGGACGATCGAGCGATTAGGCGACTCGACGAGTCTAGGAGAAGATCTCGGTGCCCATCTCACAGGGACATGGAGAGACGAGATCCTGGGCCGAGAATTGACGGGCAGCCCTTTCGCGGCAAGTGGCGAGTGGCGAGTGCGCGATTATCGGCTTGGACGTCGTCGTAGCGCACGTAAGGGACTTATCGGGATAGCGACGCCGATTCTCCGGAGGTTAATCCAGACACGTCCGCGATGCTCTTGGCGGAACGCAGGAGGGTGCTCTGTCTCATCAGGAAAACAATATATCGGCGCCCCGTGGTGCGGGAGCTTTGGCCCCGTGAGCAGCAACAAGGGCGAGGCTCTCGATGCGTTATTCATGAGGAGGACTCTCCTCGTGCCGCGCGATAACGCTGATTCGCTTAATAAACGGACCGTGGTAGGGGGGAGTTGGGGGGGGGGGGGGG